TTCCCTTGCAGCCCGCTCTATGGAATTTTTCCTCTTTTGTGTCGATTCCCTAAATACAAAGATTGTAGGGATTGCATCTGCCTCTAGTTTTTTTGCACCTGGCTTGTTTTCCATCAGTTCTTTCTGGAAAGTAATTTTTCATGAAACAAAATATTATTCAATTCGAATTTAAAGAAAAATTTGAATTTAAGCAATTCAAAATTCATCTTCTTCTCCTTTTATTAAGCGCAGCCCTATCACGTGTTTGTATTTCATTTATTTCACTGCATGAGATATTTCAGATTTTAATCCCTCATGCCCAAAATTGGATACACCTCTTGCAATTTGTGTTCGGCTTACCAAACAGACAAGGCGTTCACGACGCCCATGCAGCAGGCAGAGCAAAAAGGAAATTCATCATGACTCAATATCAATAGAAGAATTACTCATAATAGTCGTCATCGCTAACACGAAGTTGGCAGTGGTTATGGCAAAACATGTTATATGTGCTGTTTTTGTTTGTATTAGATATGTTTTCTGTCACTCCTGTAAATGCTTTACCCCTTTCATTTTGTAATACAATATTTTCAGCCCTAGAAAAAAATCTCGCGCATTCAAGTAAGCTTTTTGGAATGAAACTAACTGAGAAAATAGATTAGAATTAGTGGTTTTATTTTTGCTCGTTTGAGGCATTGATAAGCCGTTTTCATCTTATTTTTATCTAACAAATCGTTTATTTCATACTCAATGATACAGCTACTTTGAGGTACCCAAATTATTTTTGCAGAATTTCTGACGAAACTTCTGACGATTACTAAAACCCGTAGAAAATAGCATTAGCGTATTAATTAAAAATTTAGTTACCTTGAAATCTCTTTCATAGCAGTCTTCGGCAAAGTGTTCCGAGCAAATATAAAAACTCTTGTCTTTCGGTAATTCACCGGCACGACGTATGTTCGTTAGCCACATTTTTCTGAGTTGCTTGTTGCGACCTTCCCCTGGTATCTGATGAAACGTCAATTCTTTATTATGACTCGAGCGATTTGTGCACCCAAATGCACCACAGTTCGGCATTTTGAACGAAAAATCTTTAAATACTGTCCGATTTCGAGAAAAGTTGTTTCTCAATCCGAAACCTTCCGAATCAATTAACTTTCACCATAGCTTACACTTGAGTCACTCTCATCTTCTGAACGTGATGACGTCAAAGGCAACAACAACATTATCCTCGTGAGAGTTGAAGATGGCGGCCTATCGCGAGGCGATTTTAGGAGACAGTTTTCGTGGAATAACAGAGTAAAATGAGAGGTAAGAGCAAAAACAATTCACAACAAAGCCTTCTGTTATATTAACAGCAATATAGCCAAATTTCATTTTAGACCGAACTTCCCCTTTAAGTTAATAAAATTTTGCATTATGTATTAGCTGAATTAATGAAGTAATAATCTTTCTTATTTAGGTACTTTAGAATGTCCCCGGAGCGCTTTGATCATCTTTTGACTCTGGTGAGTCCCAAAATTGCCAAGAAAGACACTTCATTTAGAAAATCAATACCCGCAGCAGAAAGATTGGCTCTCACATTGAAATTTCTCGCTACTGGAGATGCTCAACAGTCACTAAGCTACTCTTTTCGAATAAGCAAATCGTCTGTTAGCAGAATAATCAGTGAAACCTGTGAGGCAATTTATGCATCACTTGCAGGAAAATATCTGTCCCCACCTACAACGCAGAGCGACTGGCTAACCATTTCTAGACAGTTTGAAGAACTTTGGAACATGCCTAACGTTATTGGGTGTATTGATGGAAAACATATACGCATAGAATGTCCTAAATTATCTGGCACTCTGTACCACAATTACAAAGGCTTCTTTAGCATTGTCCTTCTCGCCATCTGCGATGCAAATTATTGCTTCACTTTGTTTGACCTTGGTCAGTATGGAAGCAACAACGATAGTGGAGTTCTGGCTAACTCACAAATGGGTCGAATGTTTGAAGATGATGCATTGAATGTACCAGGTGAAAGAAAATTGTGTGGCGATGACCAAAAATCATTACCTTATTTTTTACTTGGAGATGAAATTTTCCCCCTAAAAACATGGCTCCTGCGTCCATACCCGGGCCAAAACGCAAACGAAGAGCAAAAAGTTTATAATTATAGGCATTCCAGAGCCCGCAGAGTTATCGAGAATGCATTTGGAATTCTGACAGCGCGCTGGAGAATTTTTCAAAAACCAATCAGAGGTACCGTGGCTAATGCAGAAAAGTATACCCTTGCATGCCTAGCTCTACATAATTATCTGCGCTTGACAGAAAACGCTTATTACTCCCCTTCTGGTTTCATGGATTCAGAAGACAAGGACGGAAATATAATTCCAGGTGAATGGCGTCTGCAAAGGTGTAATGAAACACATTTTGGAGGAATTGACGAACTGAGGCCAGTGAGAGGATCACGGGCCCGTACTGATGCTATTGAAGCACGTGATCGACTGAAAAAGTACCTCAACAGTGATGAAGGTAGTGTACCCTGGCAACTTCAATATGTCCAGAGAACATCACACTACGCTGTATAAATTTAAAAGCCAGGTTTAACAAACATTAAATTTGAATTTAATTGTCACCAAGTTTTACATTATACGAACAAAACGCCATCATAACATTACTTGTTTCTGTAACAGCTGATTATTAATCGATTTTAATCAAAATATGAATACTGATTTAAAATGTTTATTTCGTCATTGTTGTATGCTCCAAGCTGATCCAGAAGGAGATTGTGAGTATTGCAAAGGTGAATTTATATCAGATTTAAAGGGGACAGGGGAGTTTGGAAATTGGCACAAAGGAGAATTCGTTGGAAAAACTGCAAAGCCCTCGTTCTGATTTTTCATGGCAGACATTTGATATTTAAAAATGACATTTCTGATTTCATTTTTTGCCATATATTTGGCTATTTTGGGCAGCTCTTTAAGTTCTGATGCTAAAGCCTTGCAGAAAAGATCTTCGGCATCATCCTCTTTCTGTGACACCTTTCTTCGCTTTTCGGCTATGGTCTCATTAAGGCTTCTCATCAGGGAGAATTCCATCTCATTCATGAAAGCATCTTTCGTTGATGGATTTACTTGGGCCCTTTTTTTCCCTGTTATTTTCTTGCTCGTTTTTGGGGGTTCATCCACGATGCTCCCTTCTACGACATCATCATCTTCATCATCATCATCATCATCATTTTAGTCTGCCATTGATGCAAAATAATTTTCAACATCTTTCCGGGTTTCCTTTTGGGGTAGGTTGGTGCGACCTTCACGTGACTGGACAAATTTATCAAGCCAAGAAAGAAAATGGTAAGGTTTGAAGGCTCTCTCAGCTTTTTCTACCACATCCGCAGCTTTACCAGATCTTTTGGCATCTTTTAATTCTTTACGCTTCCTGAGGTATTTCTTTCTTAAAACATTAAACAGCCCCTGCGCTTTAGAACCTAGAGATAAAAATCTTAATTACGATTTATTCAAGGATATTTGGAGACGCCATTTTTAAATTGCTGTGCATATACATAAAGTAAGACAAATAGCTGATATATTTCAGCCAGTCAAGGTTCAAAAATGTGTCTTCTAGGCTAATTTTCACATTTAAGGGGAAGCATCTTAGAAAATTTCCAACAATATAAAGTTTTTCTCACGGCCTCCCTTACTTGTGCAAAAATGAATTCATTCACTATACCATTTTTTGCGAAAAAGGGGCATGAACTGCTCTCGTGACTCTTATGAAAAATGACGAAGTTAAGAACTGTTCCTTACACCGAAGGATTTGTAAAATTGATACCACTGCTCGACAAAAATAAAAAAAAATTATAGTTTATATATAAAAAAGGTGCGCAGTGCCACAGAATATTACCGAAGAAAATATTTCAGACATATATGCGCAATAACAAACAATTGAACACAATACCATTTTCAATAAAATCCAGTTTTTCAGCTACTTTTACCCACGCATTTGTGACGACATCCTTCTCCTTATAGCCTTTTTCTGTTTTGTCATACAAAACTGGAAATAGCTTGACTTCTTCTGCGAGTAGCTCTTCATCTTGCAACGAAAGTGAAGTCATTTTTCTCTCTTCTTTCACAACCGAGTAAAAAAGACTGTTTTCAGCATCCAAAAAACTGCTCACTGCAAATGCATTGCGTAAGAACATCAAGTGCAAATGATTGCACATTCCCCTCCCACGCGTCGGCTTCCTTTGACAAGATGTTATCTCACGTTAACTCATGAGCTTGAAATCAAAAAATTTTGTTTCCAAGCTCATGAGATAGCGTGAGTTAGCGTGAGTTAATTTTCATGAGATAATTTTTAATGAGCGTTTCCACTATGAGATAATTTTTAAACCAACTCGGATCACAAAATTATCTCAAATTAACTCACGTTAACTCATAGTGGAAACCAAGCTTTATAGTAAATGCTTTTGGGGCCTGGGACCCAATATAACAGTCTAAAAATAGCAGTTTGGAGCATTTCTTAGCTGGGATCTGCATCCTTAAAAACCGCTTTTCTGTCTTTTCTCATATTTTGATGACACCTGGTGAAGGCCTAAATAATGCACCATGATCTTTGAAAGCAAGGAAAGCTGATGAGGGTGAGTTGGTTTTGGACCCAAGTGCTTTGCAGCAGTCCAAGCAACTTTAGGCACCCATCCGTGCCACATACTCAGCAATATCAGAAAATGCAGCTTTCTTATATTCAGATATGACAGCAACATTTGGCACAGCATTGTAGTCATGCACATTTTGCATCAAATCCTCCTCGATCATCCAACTTTTGTTGATGGGGTTTCTTTTTCTCATTTTAGCTTCCCTTTCTTAGATATTTGTACGGTTTTCTCCCAGGTTCCTTTGAAAATCCTCTTGATCAGTAGTGCT